GGCCCATTAAAACTATTGCAAAAAAACCGTACTGGGCGAAACACGCAGAAATCAAGCTAAATGTGTGACTTCCCATGTCACTTTATCGCTACAAAACGGATGATCACCACAAAATGCCATACTTGGTCCACGTTGAAGCCTGCTTGGTACTTCCATACACAGAACACACTCAAAGCAATTTGCAACCTTGACCTTTCATTCATCTTTGTAGGCAACTGGGCGAATACGCCTTCTGGCTACCTGGCCCTGCTGATGTCAGCAGTTTCTGGCACCTTGATGCGTGACCAGCGAATTTGTGCATTTTTTCATTCCGCACTGAATTTACGATTGCTTTGCAAATGCTATTAATTGATAGCTTGCTGGGCTGGCCTCCCTCTGCCTCCTGGCAGCTATCGCCCGGCTTGCCCGGGCGAATCAGCAATCTCCAGGTCAAGAGTTTTTCTTCTCATTCGTCGTTGCGGGGTCACCAGATTCACAAACACCCGCTTTTGCGGGTCTGTGTTCAGCAAGCCAGCGGGCCACTTGCCTTTGGCGTTGTCCTCAAGCTCCTGCTTCACTGGCTGCAGCTTCACGCCCGCTTCTGAGGCCAGGGGCGGCTTCAAACCCAAGACCTCACNNGGCCGAGGGCGCCATCTGCCACAGCGCCTCTTTATCCAACGTCCAAGCTGCAGCTTGCCCTGGACGAACGCGAGCTCCAGGAGTGGGCAGAGCATGGCCCCTAGTTCCAGCGGATGGTACGCGTTCCCTGCGGCCTTAGGCAGCCTTTGTTCGGGAATCAAAGTAACACGCGGTCCGGGGACAGTGGCCTTGGAGCAGGAACCGCTCCTCTGTGCTTATAAAGCGGTGGAGGCAGTGCTGCTGCCACGGCAGCTGCTTTTCGATGTCGCTGCACAGCATGACCCACAATTTTGGCCCTTGGGTTCTCAGCGCGGGGCTATAGTCGTAGACCACGTGGCTGCAGAAATCTTTGAGGGGACTGCGGTCCAACTCACAGATGGCCACCTCGCCTGTCTTGCTGGATTGCCGCCATGTAAGCGGCCAGGTTGCACTGCATGCCAGTTGACAGCTTTCGTGGGTCGCAGTGTGGCACAGACGAGTCCAAAAGGGTTTGAAAGTGAACCTTGCCACCCAAATCGCTGATGCATTTGACTCCAAATGCATGCCCATGCTCGATCTGGGCTTCAGCTGCCAGCATACGGGGCACTTGATTTTTTCCTCCACCCAGTGCCCGCTCTTGGAAACCCCTCCTTCTCAAGGAGCGGCGGAGCCTGCGCCAGGGCCCATACTCAGGGTCCTTCTCCCGATTTTCCCGGAACTTCTTCTCCTTTTTGGGCTCCTCAACTGTCAGGCCTTCTTGTCCTGGTGCTTCTTGGCCTCCTTTCGGTCCTTCTTGGCCCTCTCCGTGCTTGACGACTGCCTCTCTACGGCCTTCCTCTCCACGGTCTTCCTCTCCGCGGACTTCCTCTCCGCAGACTTCCTCCCCATTTGTCCCCGGCATTGGCGTCCGAGGACTGGCCGTCCCAATCCGAGCCCGAGGAAAGGTCCTTCCTGGACCTTCTCTCGCGGCTCCGCGAGTCTCGATCGCTAGAGCCGCTTGCCGATTTCTTTTTCGGAGCTGGCATGTCGACCACACCTGCCAGAGAAGCACATGAACAGGGAGTCATGACATGTTTAGATGGAACACCAGACGCGAAACCTCTGCTTCCCCCCCTCCCCTGCACTCGCCGCCTGCATGCCCTGACTACTGTCGGCGCCTGCAGGTCTCCATTGAGACCCCGGCCTCCGACAGCACCAGAGCACCGGCTGCACGAGTGCTTTGCTGCTTCTGCTCGCCGCCATCGTTGTGGCTGCACGAACTCTGTCTCACCCCGACCCTGAAATAAAATACAGCCCTGTTCAAAACAAGCCCACCTGGCCTGAGCAAACAGGCAGCTGCCCACCCATTCTCTGAAAACGGCTGCGGGAAACAACAAGCAACAAACATGCACAGAGCAAGCAACAAACATGCACAGAGCTTGAAAAATAAATCAAACATGCCGCCCTAGCCCTAATGTTAGCAACTAGCAAGCATCCGAACATGCGAAAACAGGATTCTGCAAAGAAACCCAACTTGTGTTTTCTGCTCACACAGCCAAACGCTGCCGATCCCTCACCCTGGCAACAGTTGCGTCAGCAGGGGCGAACGCAACATGCCCTCGGCTGGTCTCGTGCCTGGACGCATCTTGCGCCCAGGCCAAGAGCCAGGCCACAGCAGTGGCCTGGTCTGCATGGTTCTTGAGGAAAGTGTAACGCCTGCAATTCCCGTGCGCCGGAAACCGGCACTGTATGAACGCACGGCGATGACCGCTGTTGTGAGTCCAATTATCGAAATGGACCTCCAAGTCTTCCATTCCTGGAACACGGCATGCCACGGCAGGCAGACTCGGCAAGTCCAGGGTAAGCCGCAAAGGCCCTTGCTCCGATCTTGCTGCACGCTTTGAGTGCGGATTGTTCTTGCGCTTCTTTTCAAACGCGAAATCCTGGCATTGCTTCAAAGTCCAGGCCTGCACGGCTGACAAGTCTGGCTCTTTCAGAAGCATCTCGTAATAGGCAGAACTACCTGAATGAGCTATTTGCTTCAGGCCTCCAGGCTTTTCCCAGATGCTTTCACGCAAGCATAGGGCTTTGAGATGCATCTCGGGCCTGTCCAGAAGCCCTTGCGGCAGATTCTTGGCCGCTCCTTGCTTGTGCCAGTCTCCAGCTCTCCCTGAAGCCGGATGCCATCCGTCTTGCAATAGCATTCTCAGCCACGCAAGCTTGTTCCTGCCAGGACCGTTGCTCATGAAAACCTCCTCGTGACAGAGCAGCGTCGGTTCTTGGAGAACCAGGCGACTGGAGACTTTGGTGGCGTCGCTCAAAGCCAGGGTCAGGGCTCCAAAGTCGTCTTCGCGAGCCTGGATCTGTCCCTTTTCCCTGAGACCTTGGCAGGCCTCGTTGCTGAAATACGCTAGCTGCAAGATGTCCATAAAATTATCACCCATGGCTCGGCGTTCGAGAAGAGTCTGCAAGAGGCTCTGCTCGGCATCTGTAAGCATACTGGCTCAGACTGTGTGGCAGCTGGGGGTACGCAGAGGGCACGCGACCCGAGCTCAGAGTCAGGACCTTGGACCAGATCCTGCAGCATATCCTCGTCCGTGACGAAGGCGGGCAAGTGGACCGTTGTAGCACCAGCGGCGTGCGCAATTGCAAGTGAACCTGCTTCCTGCTGCGCAGGCAAGATATGCACTTGCACTGATGTCGCTTTGGGCGTCCAAGTGCTCACTTGGGAGGACAGCATTTTCAAGCACGAGGTTGTAGCCAGCCTTGCAAAGTTCAGGGTATGCCGCGTGCTGCTGCTGTACAGCACTCCAGGCATGCTTGGATCTTGGAGATCTACATGTGTAAAGCGGAGCACGTGCACAGCACCCTTCCGGCTCCCTTGAGCCAGGACTGTGTTTTGAGTGCGTCTCTCTGGCCTCGCGCCCAGGATGCACCCATAAACCAAGTCCTCGGCAGGGATCACAGGGATGTCTGTAGGGAGCAATCCCTTGGCGAAACTTTCAAGATCCAACACAAGCTCTTCATGCAACTCCTCGCCGGAAGTGTCTCCCAGCAATGCCTGAAAAAGGCTCTCAGGCATGCTGAACACGATGCCTGTTCGCAGCTGGCTCTTCAAGTAATCCACTATCATCCACTGCTTCCGGTCAAGATCCTCGGCCCACTCTGCCTCCTTGCCACAGCCATCCTTCAGAGCCAGCTGCTGCGTCCTTCAAGGCCAGGGCAGCTGCTTCCTCGTCCACAAACTCATCCATGAAGTGGTCTTCCTCACTGTAGCCATAGATTCGCGAAATCCTGTAGCTACGTGTCTTTGTAACAACCTCCGCCCGCGGCATTATGTGGGAGAGAAGCTGGCAATCCAAGTGGCGCATGCGCCACTTGGACGCAAGGAAGTTGCATGTCTGCGGATCATCGATCATGGCTTGAAGCTGGCTCCGGCGGGCCCGCACACAAGTCATTGCAGGCCCAGCATGTCGGAGTGTCCTCTGACACGCAATCTTGATCAAGACATGCTGACGCTCGGTGCTACGCTCTACGAGCGGGCAAAAGGCGCGGTCTTGGACTTCGGCCCACGCCAAAGGAAAGTCCTCCAAAACCTTGTCTTCGGGGCTCTCGCAAAAGGCCCACAGCTGCTCGGCCAACCCAGCGTCTGCCCGTCTGTGAAACAAAAGCTCTAGCAAGGCCGTGGTTCGGCCCTGAGCTTGCAGAGCCTCGTACTGGATGAAACATTGCCGCACAATATCCTTGCTGCGCTGCAAAGAAAATTGGTCTGGCATGGCGTGGTGAGCAAATGCCCCTGCGAGGAGATGAGGAACATGTTCCAGATAAGCCAGCTTCTCTCTGATGATTGCTGCCCACTTCTCGCGGGCCTGCTGGTCCATCAATGCCATTGCAGCAGCAACCTCGGTTGGCAGCTGCAGCGCGACCTCTGTGAAAGACGTGCTGGCTAGGCGAAACACAGATTGGGCGATTTCGTCCTTAAAGCCAGCACACAGCACACAGGATCGTTTGCCTTTCCAAGGGCACTTCATCTTGGCCCGGGCCCTGCTTGCCTTCAGCTCTGCTTCATGGCAAAAACACCCTTCAAACCAATGGGCCCACTCCTGGATGAAGCAGGCGAACATGTAAGCCCAATGCACATAGGCAAGATGAAATGGATCTTGCAAGGCGGCATCGACAGTATCGCACAGGGCAGCTTCTGACGACAGAAGCTCACGATTCCAGTACAGAAGAAGGATGGGCCTCACCTCTAGATAGTGCTTCAGCGTCACATGCAGACTTTCCCATCTCCAGGACAACAGCTGACCATGATATCCCTGCACTGTGCGCTTCTGCTGCGCGGTGGCATGCTTCATCATGACACTTACTACGATCTCCCTGTAGCTTCTGTCTGTCAGAAGCTTCGAAACGGCAGACACTTGCTTCTCCACAACGTCCCACCTGGGGCAGGCTTTGCAGCACTCTTCCAATGAATTGAAGAGCACGTGCAGAACGCCAGGATGCTTGCAGCTATTGAAGAGGAAAGCCTCCCCTGTCCCAGCAGCCAGGGCATCTCCAGACACCTCTTCCCGCAAGGATGCTGCAAGTGATTTCATGCTGGACTCCTCGCCCATAGGCCATTCAGGAATTCTTCGCTCAGTGCCCTGATCTGAGATCCAACCCTTCACCTGTTTCCTGTAAAGCTGGAAGTTCGCCTCACCATTCTCCAAGATGATGGCAGACCTTAACCTCTGGGCTTTCACAAATGTTCGGGTCTCTCCCCGCGCCAATGTCATGACAGGCATTGTGCGAAACTCATGCTGGAACCCTGCCCATGGATTTGCAGGGGGTGCGATGGGCAGCGCTCTTACGATCACTTCCTCAGTCATGGCAAGGTACTCGTACCCGCCCTGTGGACTAGCATCCACGCTCAAATATCTGCTCACAGCAATGTTCTCACGGCCAACTTGTTCTGCCATGAGGCACTGTCTGTGAAACATGTGCAGCCAGTCTAACCGCAGCATGTGAGTTTGGATTTGGAACCGACCAGGGACAGATGCCAGCACCTTCTGCAGAGTCTCCTGGCTAACGCCCCCAGCCAAAGGCTCCAGGAACCGGGCCACGCACGTGACCACAAGTGGCATATCTGCGGAATTTTGCATGGCGAAGTTAAGCCTGACGATTTGTATCTCCTGCAAAGGGGTCAAAGCCAAGACATCTCGACTCCATCTTGCAATTGCGCCAGGCATGCCTCTCTCAGGCTCGACGTTGTGATCAGAAGGTTCAGGTTCGTACTCCTCAACGTCTTGCTGCGGTATCCTGGGGGCTTCAGAGACCTGGATGCGCAAACCTGCAATCAAGTTTCCCGCACGCTCACTGACTCTGTCTGGGACAGGATGCTTAAGGACGCTGGAACCTGCAACAACCACCCTTTCTGCAGCCGCAGCTCGGGCAGCAAAGCCTCCCCAGCACTGCCCATCAAATGTCGGCCTGGCCTGTTGCTCAAGAGCTGGTGCAAGTCTTGGCTAGGGCGACAAGCACGCTGCAACTGCTTGCCCGGAAACTGATCCCTTCTCAAGCGCACCGGTGCATCGAAAATAAAGCAACGGTCCAAGTCCCAGCAGTAAACTTCTTTCAGCACAGCATGCTTAGAACTTCTATTATCACGTTTCCGCTGTCTGAAAGCCCCAGTCCACTGGTCACACTCGCTCAGCTCGGCCGGGGACGCCCCGGCCCAGTTTTCATGCAAGTCGGTGGCCCGGCACAACATCCGAACTTCAGCATGCTCGGTCTTCCCTGATAGCACTGTGTACAGCGCCAACCATTGGGGCAGGGCATTCTTAGCTGGCTTCGCACTCCCTGCCCTACGGCTGCCCGAACTTCCGCCCAGGCTTTCAAAACTCTCAGGCAAACACAGGAAACCCGACTCCATTGCAGGATGGGAAACTATATCTGAAACGTGACTTGTAACTATCACTCTATGGCTGCAGGCAAACATGTATACATGGCTTGTGCATTCTACGTGTTGGTGCAGCTGAAAAAAACACATTTGAGCCCAAAATCACACGCACAAAACACAAAATCATGGATTGCACAGGGTTTAGGCGGGCTACTGATCAAGGTGTGGGGATATAAGTCCTAGGTTTACGGATCAAGGTGTGGGGATAATAGTTCTAGCCTGAAGCCTTTCAATTCAAAAAACCCAAAACTCTTGGAAAGCGTGCGCGGCACAGATTCATAGCTTAAAAAATTGCAAGGGTGGCAAAATGGCTCAAGAAAGGACTCTTGAAAATCATTTTCGAAAACCATGAAAATCGGTCAATATCGCTAAACCTAGCCCGAACCCCTCTTGAGGTTACTCAACCCGGTCGCAGATGCAACTACCATACCCCCAAGGGCGGTTGTGGGAGGGTCCGAAAACCTGAGACATGTACAGATGGGGATTTTTGGCACCTGGCACACAAAAGACGCAAGCTATACATTGTGCACCCTCAGATGCCTACACCATCCCAGCATGTGAAGCGTTGCTCTTTTAGCTTTAGCAGCTTCAAAGCGTAGTCCTGGCAAAGCGTAAGCATCGGCCTCAAGCCGTTTGGTAAACAAGTTGGCCAACTGTGAAATCTGTGCATGCTGGATTTATCAGCGGAACTCATGCAAAAGTGGAGCTCAGGAGCTTCTGTACCCCCAAGACCCCAAAACGAGTTACGTTTGGCGCTATGAGTAAAGGCACCACCTCTGATCTGGCTGATTTGGCCCTTTTCCAAGTAGCTACAGGTACCTTGCCGTGTTGCAGCAACATCCTTCCAGGCTTTTTGTAACGTAACACAGATCGAGAGGCTTTCCATCGACCGCGTTCTTGTATTGCTTGAAAGTCCCGCAGTTGGTGGTAAGCATCATGCGACGCGCCAGAATGCCTGAGGATGTGGGAGGTGAGCTTGAGATCTTTGAGGCCGACTCGGATTGCCGCTTCAGCGATGTGTTCACAGTACTTTTTGTAAGTGAGGTTGGGGAAGAGCAACTCATGGTTCTTAGAAGCCACATATATTGCTTTCATCACCGCATTAGTATCCCGCCGATCAGATGAGTTCAGAAGGACCACGTCATCAAACTCTCCGGCTTTTGTCGGTACTCCCCCTTCAAAAGGAGCAATGACGACCCCCCAAACCTCAGCTCGTCTCACTGCCTGTGGTTGGAGCACGTTAGCCCTTTTCAAGCCCAGAATTTCACACGGACGAAGGTAGGTATCTCCCTGTATGAGGATTGCAGCCGCCGTCTCACGGTGTCTCTGATTTGCGCATTCTAGCGCTATCAGGTCCCAGAGCTTCAAATCTACGCCAGCTCTCGATTGCATCGGGAACCGAGACCGCCAGCCTTTGAGGGCTTGCTTAGCGAACGGCAGTTGCTCCTTTTCGGCCATGTGTAAGGTGGACCGCAACGCGATCCAGCCAAAAACTGCATAACTAGCATCTGTGAAACATCTTGCATCTTGGCAGAGCTCCTGTGTGAAGAGGGTCAAAGCTTCATCTATATCCTTGTGATTTCTCATTGATTTCTGCTGATCCTTACACCACGCCTCGAACTCTGTAACTGCATCATTGTACAGCCTTTGAGTTTGGGGCTTCAACTGCGACACCCTGAGCTTCTTTAACGGCACCACTTCAATGGCAGCACACAGCGATCGTCTACGTCTGGAGCCCGACGCGGTGCCTTCGCTGACGGCGCCATGTAGCTTCTGCACGTGTGTGTTGTCCAAAAGTGACGCTGTCGAGGAGCGCAGGTAACTTGGCTTGGAACTTTGAGATGATTGGAAAGAATTCGCCCTGGCGAGCGATTGAAGCTGCAGAGAGTTTTGCCCGGATGTGCTCAGCAATTGATCCAGGCTCTTCTGAAACATCAATCAAAAGAGGCTTCACTGTTTGAGCCCATTTCTGGCACAGGCACATTGGATAAGCCCCTGCAAGTTCCGTCCGATTAACCCACCTGTATTGATCATCATGTCTCACCTGCACTCGGCCTCTTAGAACTTGTCGATGTTTTTTGTGTGGACATTCTCGGGAAAGGGATTGCAGCAACGGACAGTTTGTGAGGATCGATGTAGGTTTCTTACAATCAGCTCCATACATACAATATGGGAAGTTAATCCTGTGAATCCCTGGCAGCAACATCAACTCCCGTATCGCTGGAAAATCCCACAGCCTCGACGATGCTGGGTTCTCTATCGACCAGTGTAGATCATGAGCATGGCATAGACGTGCAACCTCTGCAGAGAAAAATGCCAACTCACAGGCTACTCTCTCGCGTTCTCGAGCTGTACGTTGATTTTTTATATGATGTCGGGCTCTGGAGAATGCTGTGCGTGGAGTGCCGAGATGAACATAGCTGACATTCTCAGAGAGGATCAGCTTCTTGACACACACCTGGGTAGCACGCCTTGTTAAATCATGATGCGCCCCATTACGAAGATCAATAGGTGGAAGAGTCCCAAGCTTGAGCGTTTTGACTGCATTCGTCAGATGGTCTGTCCCGCTAAAGAGTTCCCAGAACATTCCTCGCTTGTGTAGGCCAGGGGGTCTCTTTCTGTACTGACTGCGATTGGGCAGAGAGCACTGTTCTGGAGAAGCGCGCCTCATGTGAGGGGCTTCGGCCACGGTGTGACCACATTCTCCACAGCGTTCTTCACCTCCGCCATCTGATGAAGGGTCGCAAAGTGCATCAAACAAATTAAGCTGGACAAGGTCATGCGGCGTCAAATTCAAATCTCTGCTGGAAACTGCCTGATTGGTACCATCAATTCCTTCTCCTAAACTGCTCACTGAGGTATGCGTGGATGTCTTGGCGCCACGAACTGCAGCATCAACTCTCTTGCCCTCAAACCAGCAGGAGGGAGCATCAGCTAGGTTCCGCTTTGTTTCAATATGCCGTAACCTCCAACGTATACCCAAACCAGCCTGGATTGCCCCAGCGATCCGACATAGTCGAATTAGACCTGGCCGAGAGGATCTGCCCTTTTCATAGCACAATACTGCGGGGAGGTTGTCAGAAAGGGTGAGCTTCTTCAAACCGGCCAAGGAGGCGACCCGAGCTGTGCGCTTCAAGCTACTGAGAGCTACTCTTGCTTCCTTCATGCCAATATGTTCGGCCGAATTTTTCCAAGACTTCGCCCAAAGCAGTGTGAACTTCCTCTCATCGACAAGCTCAGGATCAAGCGGCGGCACCAAAGCAGGAAACTCAACATCCTCTCGGATGGTCTTTTTGGCTCGGAACTGTGAAACCATGGCACTTGTTCTCAACCATGATCCCTCCTGCAAAGCTTCCTGCAACCATTTTGCATATTGAGTTCCCAGGCCCAACCCGTCTGCACTCCTTGAAGGGCAGGTGGAGCGTACCCCATCCTCCAAGACTCCGAAGTCGTAAACAATCGAGTCTTTCATAGGGTTCTTCTCCTTTTGCATGATCTCCCTCAGCGAGTCCGGCATCGGTACATAGCGCCACTTTTCTCGGAAGCGGCGCGCTGCACGAATCTTGTCCGGTGGAGCCCAACTGGTCATCATGGCGTACCCCCGTGTGGCAGAATCACCCATGTCGACCTGTCTCACAAAGCTTGCCCCTTGATCAACGTGACAAAGCCAGATCAAGTTGCAAGCGCAGAGGATTTCGGCTCGCACTGCAGGCCAAAGAGGAACCCTCCCGCCCCCAATCCGCACAAATCTATAAATCTTTTCAAAGGCAGTCAGCAAAGAAGGGCACAGTCTCATCAAGGCTGTCGCACGCCTAAGCCATACTTCCACCACGTGTGGTCGTACCTTCGCCCGCCGAGCAAGCGCAATGCCAGCCAGGTGCACCTTCCAGAGACGATGGGGCTTATGCAATAGTCTTTTCTGGGAGAAATCCACTATACATCCGACTGTTTCTAGCCGTCGCACCGGCTCCGGGTATTATAACTCCATACAATGGGTATGCCTTTCCGTTCGAAAGCGGAGTTGATTTCACGCACACGGTTCTCGACATTAGACTTGGTGCCTCCAATGATGGCCACATTGTCGACATATGTGGATGTAATCGTCTCCGCCTCAGTCATCTGCGGCACTGGGAGTTTCTCACGCATCTCGAGCGCGCGGCCCAAAGCACTATCCCGGACAATGGAGGCTACCGTCTCATTCGCAAAGAAAAGCGCCCATGTCCAACCCATCAGCATCACGTTGATTACGGGAAAGAGGACCTCCCCTGAAGCTCCAATATTCCTTA